CACGAACCGTCCGTTCCAACACTTAGAACGGACGGTCTGTGAATATTTGTGGACCGTCGGGTCTGGCACGGAGGACCGTCCGTTCCGGACTTCTGGTCCGTCCGTTCCAGACCCTTCCGTCTTGGTTTTCCCGTCGTTTTCTCGTGCGTTTTGTCCTTCCCTGCGTGTGTGACCCTGTAGGCTCATTCGATATAGCAGTATAGTCTGAAATCTCTATTCCGGATATACAAGTCATAGGCGGTCTCTAGCAAGACACTATGACTATCTATCTCGAATAGAGTTTGTTCGTGATCTTACGAACGTCAGTGATGGTTCCGGTTGATGATCCTTTTGTATCGCGATATCATATGTCGAACATAGGCATGGACAAGCCACCTTATCTGATTCGACCGCTTTCTCATTCACTGAGTTCGACTTTCTGAAATAGACGACGTTCGTCTATAGTGCGGCCACACATTTCTACAGTTCGCTCACACGAGGGGCCCAGCGATATCTCTCTCTTTTACGAGTGGTACAAATCCCGTCTTGACTATCTACAATCCAGTACATGATTCGTTTCGTACCTGATACACGCCTTTATAGTCCTCCTGTTACGCAGGACGTTTGACGTAATCAAAGCACGCAACTCCTCATGTTGGATTCCGTAGATATCTCAGGTCTTAGGATCCAATCATGGAACCGCCATATGAGATTCAAGTCATGACGCTAGTCCATGTGACAATCTCATGCGGGTCAATCTAGTATTCCGTTCTATGATTGTTATCGTATCCAATACCTATGATCATCTATGTGATCATCAATCACACATCATACTAGTCTTATTATGTCGTTATTCCCATAACGACACAAGACTAGGGAGTTTAGTATCATTCATAATGATACATGGATTTCATAACAGATCTAGTATGCAAGAACATGTAATGAATCAAATACTCTCATAAAACATACAAAGTATCAATACATCGAATGTATCTGAACAAAGCTCATAAACAGTACATCATAGAGCACTAAACCAACAGTTGGCTCATTCAACACCTAGGATGTGATCATCTAACCGTATCAGGATTGTGAATTAAAGGTTAGTTTTCTCCTCAAGAAAGTTCTTCATCGAAAGATTGGTTCGTGGGCGGTTCAAAATCGTTTTGAACGCCAATTCCGCTGCGTAAACGTGCGGACCAGATCCTAGCACGGTTTTGAACCGGCGGTCTAGGATCTCGTGTGACCCAGCAGTGGTATCAGAGCTCGGTTCTTCGTTTCGATGAAGAATGATCACTCTTGAGCAAGTTTGAAAATTGTTCAAATTTGGTTTTGATCTAAGTTTAAATCTGATATATGATTGATTCTATGGTAGATTAAATTATTTAACAAGACTTAGATATATGGAGGCTTAAATCATGAATTAACTCGAGAAAACGGAACGAAAAACGGATTCGAAATGAACGAAAAATCAGATCAAGATGGAAAATCTCGTCTGAATTTTGGCCCAAAATCCCGTGGTCCGGCGGACCAAAAGTTGGTCAGCGCCGGACCACAGGTTCGGACTTGCACAGATCAGTTCGTCGGACCAGAGGAAGAAGCTCGGACCAAAAAGAAAACAGTCTTGGTCTGGCGGACCAAAATGTTGGTCCAGCGGACCAGACTTTGGTTTAGTCAGCACGAGCTCGGCGGACCAAGAAGGAGAAGTCTCGGACTAAACTGTCCTAGTCCGGCGGACCAAATTGTTGGTCCGGTGGACCAGACATGCTGTTTGATCCGACGAGATTTTTCGTTGGTCCGAGAGTGCTCCGAAACATCCTGGTCTCGGGCTGACCAACGCTTGGTCAGCCGGACCAGACGTTTCGGATCAGACGGACCAAGGAGCTGGTCCGAGAAGGAGAGACGCGGACTGGAGGTGTCTGGTCCGGCGGACCACAGTTGGTCAGCCCCGGACCAACAGCCTCAGTCCGCGCGTACCGAGTCTGGTCCGAGAGACGAAGCTCCGGACTGAATGTGTTTGGTCCGGCTGACCAAAAGTTGGTCAGCCCCGGACCAACACTTCAGTCCGAGCAGACCGAGCCTGGTCCGTGCGCGAGAAGAAGCTGAATCTTGGGTTTGGTCCGGCGGACCAAATGTTGGTCAGCCCCGGACCAACCCGGCTGACTCAGCCCATTTTCTTCTCTAGTCCGAACTGACTTCGAGGCACGTTGTGGTTTGGTCCGGCGGGCCAGAATTCGGTCAGCCCCGGACCAACCACCTGTTTTCGGATTTTCGCATTTTCTGAATTCGATTCGGTTAAGTAATGGTTACTTGACTGAGTTAATCATGATTGTTTTTTGTTTATGACTTAATTATGTAAAGGGTCTACATGAATTAAGTATATAAAACTTAATCAAGTATAAGAATTACTTGATTGAGTGGGAGTTTCGGGACTTAGTTTACTAAGCTGAATAGACGGTCTATTCGGGCTAAGTAACAGAGTATGATCAAAATATAATTGTTATATTTTGATCAATCGAGAATAGAACTATTACAAGTAGAGTTCTTGCCAAGACCTTGGTAATTCGTGTATGGGACATGCCAAAGTTGTGCATACCGGATTATTTAAGTGAGACAAGAATTGAGAAATTGTGCTTCTCATTTTTCGAAAGTAATAAATTGCTTCTTGATAACGATAAAATCCCTCGTTATAATTTCAAGTTTATACCGTCCATATTTCGAGCACTTGTCAAAACTTCGATCGTCTGTGTATAGGTCATGTCAAAGTTGAGCATCCGGACAATCTTTGTGAGACAAGATGGAGAAATGGTGATTCTCATATGCTCAAAAATGGTTTGGCTTGAGTTAGGTTATCAAGTTGGACTTGAACTTAACGGTATAGATGGGACTAGAAATATGCGGTAGTATAATGATACTATCTTTCCATAAACGATCTAACAATCACATTGGATGTGATTGACATTAGATGTCTACATAAATAGCGTAGGCTTGAGCGTCATGCCAAAGCTGACTCAAGTCTATGTGAAATATGGATCTTAGCCTGCTAAGAAAATTACTAGAGGATTATTTATCTTAGTGGGAGTTTATCTCATATTTGCATAATGTCATCCGTGATAGTAATTATACTATAATTGGTATTGTACTAATTGATATTGCATATTGTGTTGTTCTGTTTATCTCTATAGGACATGGCGACAGGTGGTAGTGTACCAACCGTATCATTGCGATCTATCCTTGAGAAGGATAAGCTGACCGGGACGAACTTCTTGGACTGGTATCGGACCTTGAGAATTGTTCTCAGGAACGAGAAGAAGATGTACGTCCTGGAAGGAGCTCTTCCTGTTGAGCCCCCGGCCAACGCCGCGAGAGCCGTTCGTGACCAAAAGTTGGTCACCCCCGGACCAACACTTCAGTCCGAGCAGACCGAACCTGGTCCATGCGCGAGAAGAAGCTGAGTCTTGGGTTTGGTCCGGCGGACCAAATGTTGGTCAGCCCCGGACCAACCCGGCTGACTCAGCCCATTTTCTTCTCTGGTCCGAACGAAGTGACTTCGAGGCACGTTGTGGTTTGGTCCGGCTAGTCAATCCTAGCCACAAATTTATTTGAAATTGCGTTGCAAATTTCTGTATTTATTTTTCGAAAGTCAAATCATATTAATTTAAATGATAATATTTGCAACGAAATTGTTGCGTTGCAAAGCGTTGCAAAATTCGTTGCTAATTTGCAATGAAATAATAAATTGCAACGAAATTATTGCGTTGCAAAATCGTTATAATTTTTTGTAACGATTTACCAAAAATTTTTGCAACCATTTTGCAACGCAAAAATTGCTTTGCAAATTCGCAACGATATTTTTACGTTGCAAAAGAGTTGCTAATTGTAATAAAACAATTTTGCAATGATTTATCAACGATTTTACAACGCTTTAGCAATGCTTTGCAACGAAAAATTTTGTTGCTAATTTGCAACGCAATTTTTGCGTTGCAAAGCGTTGCAAAATCGTTGCAAAAAAATTTTCGCTACAAAACGTTGCTAACTTTGCAACGAAATAAATTTCGTTGCTAATTCCGTTGCTAATTGAATGTTTTTTTGTAGTATGACCACTACTCACACCTAAATCGATTTAATTTAATTTAAACCAATGAAATATTGGTCAAAATCGGTTTATTTCATTTTGTTACTTCACTTATGAGATAAAAAAAAATGAACTATTTTAAAAAAAAAATAGGACGCGTGTCATTTTACCGTGAGAGAAACTGTACTTTTATATATTAATATATGCATTCAAACTCGTAAATAAATTGAATTTTAGATTTAATTAACTTTTATATATTCAGATTAAACTCTCATAATTAGATTCAAACGTTTTATAGTTTTCTAGTTTCAAAAATCTTTTTATTTATGATAACTTATAATTAAATTTTAGACATATTATAGATTTTGATTCAAAATATACTGTGGGTGTAATTATTTGGCCCCTATATACCTATAGAAATTGAATTTTAGAGTAAACCCACTAAACAATCCAATTTAGTCAAATCCAAGCTATTCAGACATAAACCATACTCAATATCGGATCCTACGACCTAAAATCAAGCAAACCAAAGCCACAGTAAGTCTAAATCGCCCAACCTAAGGTAAATCAACCTATACAGGTCCTAAGTTTCCTAAACTATATAAAAAGTCCTAAAATTAACCCAAACCATTTCTAAGTTAACCTAAATCGATATGAATTGAACTAAATAAGACACTATCTGAACCGGTCTAAACCGATCCAATTGACTCTAACCCCTGCCTAAATCAATCCAATTTAATCTAAACCGGTCAACTATGGATTAAATCGGTTCATTATTAATTCACTTGATGGGATATGAGAGTAATCATTTTAAAAAAGAAAATAACAAACGTTTCATTCCCTCGTGAGAGGAACTGTATTTTTACATATATAAGATTATATTGTCCTTCGTGTTACATATTTTTCCATAACTAGTGATCAATCATATTGTCACGGTTCAGATTCAAGAGAGACAAAAGGTTCGATGATCTTATTCACAGAGAAGAAGAAGTATATATACAGAGTTTTGCCAGTAACCTAGTATCGAGAAAGAAAAGAAAAACATATATATGACATGAAACTTTCCTTGTTCTTCTCATACAGGAATATACGCTATTACCCTCCCTCAAGTTGGAGTGTGAATGTCATTGTGACACCCGTATCCCGATTCTCGTAAACAGGATGCGCCACATGGACTAAAACCAATAAAATAATACCAAACAAAAATATGGGAATTTTAAAACTTTTATTTTATAAACACGCAGATGTTGCCTCTCTCAAGTCTTCGTCGTCGTCTAGATACGCTACACGTACTCCTCGTGATCTGAAAAATATGAAACCACAAGGACTAAGCACAACCGCTTAGTGAGTAGCCCGGGTTGAACCCGGTAAACCCGTTCTCAGCGAGAACGGTGTTAAAACGATAAAACATAAATTATAATATTCAACATTAAACATATACTCATATCACATCAGAATATCATCATATTCATTCACGTATGGCTTCACGCCATAGAATTAGCCATGAACCCTGGTCACATCTCATGACCAGGAGCGCCTCACACGCCCGTCACATCGCATGACGTTGGTCGTCGCATCGCACGACAATCAAGTAGGTATGGCTTCGCACCATAGAGTCAGCCGTAAACCCTAGTCACATCTCATGACTAGGAGCGCCTCTCACGCCCGTCACATCTCATGACGTTGGTCGTCGCTTCGCGCGACAATCAACTCCTGTATGGCTTCGCACCATAGGGTTAGCCATAAACCCTAGTCACATCGCATGACTAGGAGCGCCTCTCACGCCCGTCACATCTCATGACGTTGGCCGTCGCTTCGTGCGACAATCAAAACCGTATGGCATCGCACCATAAGTATAGCCTACAATCCTAGCCACATCGCATGGCTAGGTGCGCTTCGCACGCCCGTCACATCACATGACGTTGGCCATCGCATCTCGCGATCATCATGCGCTTCACGCGCTTGTCACCGCACTGGTAACGGCTGATGTCACCTCTCGTGACACATCGGAGTACAATCACAATCACGCTCCCCTTGTATCGTACGAGTGAGCTTCAATCATAGCATTCACCATGCATCATCATCCCCCGGCTACAATCACACATATCACGATATTCGGCCTCATACCGTCTTACCGTTTCACGCCATGCATTGCTACCCAAAAATAAACCCACAACGATTCACTCGCAGTGTTATTTCTCACGTCTTACCACACGTATTCATTCAATATTTTCATTTTTGTCTTCTCTTTCCTCTTAGGTTTGGTCTGGTCTGGACCGGGATTTAGTCCGGCGGATCGGATCTGGTCTGTCCCTGTGAAATCGGTTGATCGGGCCATTTTTTGGTCCAAAACAGGCCTGGTCCGCCGGACCACTTTTTGGTCCGGGTCAGACCAGGCTTCCTCAGCCTCTTCTCCTTGGTCTGGCGGACTAAAAATATTTTCCCGGATTTGGTCCGGAGCAGACCATTTCCTGGTCCAGCGGACCGGAACAGGGCAGTTCGTCCGTTCGCGTTTCAGGTTTCTGGTCCGACTTCGATTGCTCATAATTCACTCGTTTCTTAACCAAATCGCGCACCGTTTGTTTCTAACATAGGGATGTCCTTTTTCATATCCAAGCAATAGATTATTTAAATATCATGTATAAATGACGAAAAATGATTCGTAATGCCTGTACCTCAAAAAAATCGTGATTCTGCAAATTTCAGTTTTTCCACAGTTTTCGTTTGTTCATATCTCCTTCGTTTCTCAGCCAAATTAAGTGTCGTTTGTTTCTAAATTCTCATTGAAATGTCCTCTTTCAAACTCAATCAATGAATCATCGAGATAATACAATCACATCGATGAAAACGAGCTTATACAGACGCAACTCAAGCCACTCACCTTAAAATTGCTTATAAGTCTCGGTGATGAGTTTCTTTGTTCCAAGAGGGTTTGTTTATCACCTAACATGGATTAATAAGGATTAGAATGAGCCTTATAACAAGATTTGAAGAGGCCAAAGACATCAGAAGGGTTCAATCTCTCGGTGCTAACACAAACGATGTTTAATCCTTTGCACACATATTTCTCTTTTATAGTTTGAGTTGGGAATGACTATGAAATTAAAAATGAAGGTTTACTGATCTAGTATGAATGCTTAACATTGATTCCTCACAAATAAAAATCTTAAAGAGTTGGATTTACCCCTTCCTCGATTGAAATGGTGGTTTCGGGTTTGTTTCTTCCGAATATAACTAAAATGGAGTCTTAGGAGCCTAGATTTTGAAGAGATAATGATATGCAGGGAACAAAATGTTAGGTATGAGACTTGAAGAAGGTAAATTAAGCTCGAAATATAGTGATCTTACCATCAAATGAAAGGGAATCGAAAATAGAGTGAAAACCCGAGTTTTTGCACCACCGATAAGCATGTTATGGTAAGAGAATGATCTTTGAACTTGTTGATCATTATTGTGACGAAAATGGTGGAGTGATAAGGAGAAAATGAAGATGAGATAGGGATCCGATGGTGTCATTTGAAGGTGACAAAAACTGCATTAAACCATAGATGCGACTCCATTTTCTTCTTTCCCATTTTCTCTGCCTCCATCGGTGGTACATCTCTCTCTCTTTCTTCTTCATTGTCGAAGCCTTATGTGTCTCTCCAATAATGTTTAGGAATGGTGTTATTATTGCTTTCTAGTTGGAATCAAAGTGGCTCCTTTGGCCTACACACCTTTAGTTGGCCATTCCCGACATATGATTGTGTGGGTTTTCCTTTTCTTCTTATTTTATAATGCACGCAAGATTCTTTATGTTGGTGATCATGTGGGTGGGTCATCAAAGAAGAATAATGATTAAGTTGAAAAATCAACTCACGTTGAGTTGTTCTTGTTTCCATCATTTTTATTTTATTTGTTATAATTATAATTATAAATATAATTATTTATCTATTTGTATATTTCTTAATTACTATGGCGACCTATTGATTATACATCCCAAAGATATACTCGTATTTTAGATTACGGATTTTAGACTCATGATACTTGAATCATATCAATTACGAATTTTGTGAAACTTTTTCGGTTCAACTTGATATAGTTCGATTTTTATTCCATATATCATTCAATATGAAATTATCATCATTTATCATATTTCTAGATTTTCGGACATGGGTTATTACAGCACATGTGCCTGTGGGCTGGACCGGTCGGTCTGCCTCTTGGACCGGTCCGTCCAGGCGTCATGTTTCCCTTTTTCACCTTTTTCTCGTCTCTTTCGCACGTGGTGATGCTCGGGCCTTTTCCCGTTACCTTATTGTCTATTTTTAAGGTTTTTAAGGCCCGTCGATTTAATTCTTTTTTTTTCGGAACTAATTAAATATTTGAATCCGGATTTGGGGTATTACAGTCATGAACGCCCAGCTTGCGTAAGAAAACGTCGAACTCCTTTCTTCAAGGGCCTTGATGAATATATCCGCAAGCCGTTGGAATGTGGATACATGACGAGTGATGATGGCGTTTGTTTGAATATGATGCCTGAGGAAATGACTTGTGACTTCAATATGCTTTGTCCGGTCATGAAAGACATCATTAGCAGCTATATGGATGGCAGCCTGGCTGTCGCAGTGAAGGATCATCGGGCCAGAATGTACGATACCGAGAGTCTGAAGAAGTCCCTTTAACCAGAGAAGTTCACTGGTAGTAACGGCCATTGCCCGATATTCAGCTTCGGCGGAAGATAGCGATATTGTTTGTTGTTTCTTAGACTTCCAAGATATTGGAGAGGTGCCGAGTTGAATGATCTATCCTGAAAGTGACTTCCGAGATCGCTGATAACCTGCCCAATCAGAATCACACCAAGCGTAGAGATGCAAGTCAGAGTTGGATCGAAGTAAGATACCTTAACCGGGGTTCCGTTTTCAAGTATCGGACCTGATGCGCACGCACCGAGTTCTAAATTTGTAACCCGATTCGTACCACTATCCGCAAGTATACGGTAGTTGTAGTACCGGGGTCGATCACGAGGACTAGGTTGTGTTAATCCATTCTTAAACTAGATCAAAGGTGATGGAAAATATTGATTGCAAGGTGTTTGTGAACATGTAAGTATGAAAAGAGGGTCAAATGAGCAAGCAAAACTTGTGTGATGAAAACGATTGGTCACGAATGTTGTGGGTTCGGGGTCCCTTTGACGGGTATGGATGTTCAAAATGTGATGGCATTCATGATCATCATTTCTAATTGGGGATTTCAAGGCTCTTTGTATAAGATCTTTCTCTCTCAAGCTTAGATCCACTACCTAGAAAATCAACTACCCATCTCTCAATGATCTAGAAGACTCCTAGGTGCATTAACAACCCCTATCATAAACCCTAAACAAGTCAAACCATCTCTCAACGTGAATGCTTTGTTCATTTGATGTCTAGGTCAAAACACCATTCTCATATGTCTATGATCAATGTTGTTCTAAGATCATTCAATCAAGGTTTTGCCAAGATCAAAAGCATGAAGGATAAGACATCAAACCAATAGAAACAACTAAAAGAGTACCATAGATTGAAAACCCAACATCCATACACAAAAGGGGGACCCCTCCCCCACAACTAAGGTTCTACTCCATATTCAAAGGAAGAAAACAAGAAGAAACAAAAGAGAACATGATAGAGAAGAGAAAGGAATGCTTAGATTGGTCTTCAATGGTGATGATCACTTCTCTTCTTCTCCAAGTCTCCCAAGCTCCAAGTTTTCCCCCAAGTGTTTT